ACATTAAAACTGGATTATCACAATAACGAGGATACCATGTTTCCAGACTGAAATTATATACAGTTTGGCATTTATAACAAATATGGATACAATTGCCATTACAACCAGTTTCAGGGATCAGTCTATATAGTTATATTATGTAATTATATAGATTTTGACACTTCTGATTCGCTTGATAGAGAAATAAGCGACAAAACATTTTCATAAGACATCTTTGCTAAATGCAGAGTCGATTCCGACTTTATCATGAGCATATGTTTATGAATCACTATCAAATAGTGATGATACCAGGTGTTTGCGAACAGGTGGGCGTATCCTGCGTCACCGGTGGTACCCGTCACAAACACATACAAAGGCAAGTCAAGTGTTCATCTGCAAAAACCCATGGGAACACACTGTACAAGTCAAAATGTGCAGCAGGCTTCATTTTGGGCACGCCAGAAACCTATGATTGTGGGTTCAAATCCCGGTTCGCCCCAATTATGTTTCTAGGTTTGTCAGCACCACACCCGTGCTCGTGGGTTTCGGCGAAGTGGTAAACGTTTTTTTGTTTACAGAAGCAGAAAGTGTGATTGATCAAACACTGCACTTGATATTTGATTTCCAGTAGAAGTTGAGAGTAACATCTTGTCCGACTGTTAAAGATCACTTCCCGAGGCAAGAGAGTTAACTGACTTTAAAAGTCCAGTTTCCACCCTTACCGAACTAGGCTGGCATTCCTCGGCTCGATCGTAGCGCCACCAGTGGCTATTCGAGTTATGTCCCTTCTATGCCTCTCCTATGGACCAATCAGATTCCAACTTACGTATAACTTGCATGTGCTTCAAACAAACGGCGGCGCCCAGTCAAGACGATCTGATCGATAATCAAGATCTATATTGTGATAAAACGAGTCTTACATCGCGAAGTGCATCAAATCACGTGAGCACCTACATCAAAAACATGAAAAGATTTAGAAAATATCTGTTGACAACGAGTTAGCGGTGCACGTGCTTTGCAAATCCTGCAATCGACCGAAATCTGCATGACAGTTTACGAACCGGATTTCGATTTCGGAGTGCGATTTTTATTGGACTATGCATTGACTCGTTAGTCCAGCCAAACTGTAACTCCATAATACCAGCCTAGTTCGGCAAGGGTGGAAACTTGACTTTTATAGTCAGTTAACTCCCTTGCCTCGGGAAGATGGTTAAAGATCAGCATGAAAATAGTCGAGAAGTCGACGTTATATCAATACCGGAAGAGAGAGCATAAACTATGTCTGTCAGAGAAAGAGGTGGGGGATGTGGTCATGGGTTCGCACAATGTGGAAGGGGAGTCTGTAGTTTCTTTGCTATCCGAAACTCGGATTATCGAAATTCAATATTAAGTTTATCTCCGCTTTCAATGTATTTTAGTTATATCACGGCGTGACAGTTTAATGTCAGACGAAAGTACAGCTTTTACCACTTTGATGGGACCCACGACCCATGGTGCTTACAGACTAATAGTCATAATCGGGGAGAATCGGGAATTTGAACCCGACACTAGCGGATACTGACACTTATAAGGGACACAACTCCTTTCTTACATGCTGAATATCAAAGTTCCGTTGTGAACATTAGAAGAATTCGTACATCTTTATTGCTAATAGTATGTTACTTATAAAACAAATCTTAAATCATATATACAGGTATATGTTTTTATTGGAATGCTTCTTAAAATCATTTATCTTTCAATTTGATATAACTGTTCCTTGTTTTGTATTTTAATGTCCTTAAGTTACATGTATCGTCTATATGTGTACTTTATACAATTAATTTAAATATTTGTCACAGTACATATTTACTGTATATACAGTATTTTATGTATAATTGCCACGTGGTGTTTTGTCTTAATATTTCTATTGCCATGCTCTGTATTTGAATATCTCCTGTAAATGTAATAAAGTATTATAGAGAATAGCGCATAAAAAACCATACATGTCACTGTCAGTGTAGCAAGTCAATGTATTTGTCATTAATCATGACGGAGATACGCTCGGAGTGAATCAGAACAATAAACCGTTATGAAACAGAACATTAACCTTGGTCAATGTTTACACTCGCTATCCAAACAAGCCTGTCACTGACTAGTCAATTCCGCCGTTAGGTGGCTATGTGTAAACAAATCGGAATTATTTTATTCCTTTAATCCAGTTGAAACCAAAACTGCATAACCGAGGGCGAAAACTCCACAGCAACGCTGCCATGTTTGTGCTGGGTAATAATCTTTCATATCAGACAGATGAAATATTGCATGCCAGGCGAGTTGATAACGACCTTAAATGACTTTAATGTGTTGACTTGAACCCATAAACTTGCCTTATTGGAGATGTTTATAGCGCTGGGTTTACGTCAGTCCCACTCTTCACTCATAGATGACGTTACGGCAGACGTTGTAAATAACCACTGAATGGTAATTTGTTATCAAAGAGACGCTTCTTTATCATGCCTCTTGAGACATCGTTCATGGTCGTATATCCAATTGGCAATTCCAATACAGAGTGAGTGAGTGAGTGAGTGAGTGAGTGATTTCTTTAATATAATATAACGCTGTAGTCTGCAATATTCCAGCAATATAAATAGTCGACTCTGGACCAGGCCAAACAGTGGCTGAAAGTATGAACAACGACCAGGCCATCACTGCACGTTGACACGCAAACAGTCATGTCATAGAACAGGGCCATCCAATCCATATTTTTGCGGCTCCTACGACGAGCATATAAGGTATGGGCTCCGTTTCTAAAAGCTATCGTGTCGCTACGACTGTCGTAAGTCAATGTTAAAGTATGTGCGTAACAATCGTCTTAGTCCTACAGTCCCTTTGTGGTTTAGGGCCCCGGAACCTAGACTGACCCCGACTCCCCGCAGTCAAGGGGGACACTGACGTTCATTTGTAACTACGGATGAGGATTAGATGGTAACGATGAGTCCTCAGTGTGCATAGTACTTGGATTAATGACCAGTGATTAAATCCCAACTCACTGTTGGATGCATGTAATATCTTTTTATCCAAAGGTGTAACAATTTATATTTCGTTTTTTTCCATATCAAAATGTGTATGTTCTCACATTTTCGACCATATGTTTACCATACGTTTCCAAGTCCTAACGTATAACCTCACTCACTCACCAACTCACTCACTCACTCACTCGCCCACACGCCCACCCACTCATTCACTCTCTCACTCACTCCCTCACTCACTCACTCACTCAGAGCTCTCACTCACTCACTAACTCACTCACTGACTCACCCACTCACTCACTCACTCACTCACTCACCAACTCACTCACTCACTCACTCACCCACTCACCAACTCACTCACTCGCCCACCCACTCATTCACTCACTCACTCACTCAGAGCTCTCACTCACTCATCAACTCACTCACTCACTCACTCACCAACTCACCAACTCACTCACTCCCTCTCGATGCAACAACCCCGTTAGTCAGAGCTATAACACATATACGTGTATGACACGGCAGCAGACCCTTGTGCCTTTATATAAGGGTATCTATCATAGCTAGCGTGGGTGTAATCCTATTTCCTCGTTATTATATAGTACCTAGCTACAGTTTGGGTGTCATGGCAATGTAGCAGGCATTGACAGAGATGATAACATATTATTCTTGCCAGATTATTCATTCGGTTATGTATACCCGTCTGGCATACAGAACATGATATAACCAAGATCAGTTCGAGATATATGATTACATTTCTAACGCAGGTGTCATGTCATACCTCTGTACATCCCTCACTTTCTCTCGAACTGTCGGAATAATTTGGTTCGTTACGAAATTCACCAATCTTTGTCAAAGCGCAAATGAACGAAAACTAACGAACGAAAGCATGTCAATAGCACTAATTACACCTGCTCCGTAAGAGTAGATACATTAATTACAGGTCACGTGGTCATGGTATCCGTGAACCACGAAGATGAAGACAATGATGCTGACGTGATACAAGAGTCACGACCTTCACTAATGAGAAGTCCTTGACTTCGTCTTTGTGATGAAGCTAATCAATATCTATCAAATAACACAATTTACACACATGATTAATTCTACATATTACCTAAACGAAAACATGCACTCTTGATACAAACTAAGGAGCACAAGTAACTATACCCCTCTGTTGGTTAAATCATACGCTTGACATTGAGTAGAAAATACTTAGAAAATATAAGAAATGAACTGTACTGGCGCTTAGTCAGCACTCAATAATACTTGTATATGGTATAATTTTTAATAGAAGCTTTAGTTTAAAACTTATAAAATTCAAATTATAAAAACAGTTCTTTCAATTTACAATTAAAAAAACTCAAACTCGGTCAACTTTCTTTTGCACCTCAGTTTGAACCAAATTCAGACCCGTGAAGATCCGGGGTAGAATAGGTCTTCAGCAACCCATGCTTGCCGAAAAAGGTGACTATGCTTGTCGTAAGAGGCGACTAACGGGATCGGATGGCCAGGCTCGCTGATTTTGTTGATGCATATCATCGTTTCCCAATTGCGTGGATCGATGTTCATGATATCAATCACTGGATTGTCTGGTCCAGACTCGATTATTTACAGACCGCCGTCATATAGCTGGAATGTTGCTGAGTGCGGCGTTAAACAACAAACAAACAAAACAAAACCCAACTTAAACATGTACCAAGAATGTGCCCGCAAAACAAAACAAATATGAAAGACAACATTCCCACAGCTTATGTGCAGCTCTCCCATCCATTGTCCTATCACCACGACGACGCACTACAATATGGCGTACAGTAATTATATCCCGGCGACAATGACCTGACATTACCAACCGTTTTGACCGCGATGACGTTTGTATCAGAAACACCAACCTTGGAATGAACGTCACCATGTAGCCTCATCTCCTGAGGCCCCTGTTTAGATCAGTGTTAATATCCCCAAGCCTCTAACCATGCAAACATACGTTGTACAACTGAGTGAGCTCTCCTCCCGTAGACTTACCTCAATACTGCATCAGCACCCTGAACGACTTGCAGCTTGTACCTCTCTCGGTTCCATCAAGCATATTCGATTTCATAATTTTATAACATGTATATTTTCATAAATTCGCATTCGGACCGAAGCTGTTCAGACACAACAGTACCGTTTCAACACTGTATGGCATTTTTCTCTAACATTCCTTCAACCAGTCGTCCAACGCTTAACCAACATTACACATTTCAACGTTTAACAGACAGCACCAGTCGAATTCATAACGCGACCCGTGATGTACTGGAGTCCTTATCTAAAGATCAGTGGTAAACACTTGAGGTTCGGTCTAAGGGTGTAAGACCACTAATACGGGTAGATATATGTCTATGGGTGTTTAGATACCCCCTCAAACACCAGAGTCTCCTCCACCGATGCCCGGATACAACAAGGGGCGTTCAACTCAAATGTTTATTAAATTTATATAAGTGGGGTATGACTTTAAAGTCACGAATATGAGTTTCGTTTTCGCTGGAAATGAAGTACAGTTTGACAAATGACGTCGCTGTTATATGGGTCATAAACAACTGTGTACAGCCATCTTTTGCATATTTCTGTTCATGTTGATAATCATAAATGTCTAATGACAACAAAATATGAGCAGATTTTACGACCGTTTCCAACAATTACTATCCCTTGACATTGGAATAGGCGCGTGATTGAGTGAGTTTGGTCTGACGTATCGTTCAGCGATATTCTTGTCATATGGTAGGTGGAACAAGACGGATTTCACATACTCTGCCCATGAGGGATGTAAACACGGGTTTACAGTGTACAAAACAACACTTAAACCGCTAGACTAACTAAACCATCGTCCTTGAATCTTTCAAGCTGAAATAATGTCAGGAACTTTAAGAGAAGTCCTGATATTCTCACTCACTCACTCACTCATTCACTCACTCACTCACTCACTCACTCACCCACCCACCCACTCACTCACTCACTCACTCACTCACTCACTCACTCACCCACCCACTCACTCACTCACTCACTCACTCACTCACTCACCCACTCACTCACTCACTCACTCACTCCTGTCATAGTTGGTGGACACAGAATGGTCATCTGGCCAAGCGTTAAACATGTGGGTAGACGGGAGATCCAGCTGCACGCTCGGGCCTCGGAGTGATGACAAGTTATATCCCATGTATCAGACTGGTTTCAGCTGGCTTGAAGCAAAGATCTTCCTGTGACTGTCAACACCTGCTAGGAGTTTTCTCTTCGGTCCCGTTTCTTTTCTACTCCATTGGTTGTCAATGAAACTGGTTGTTTCGACGATTTGATGATAATCCGGATTGTTCAGGTCCAGCAGGTTATCAGGACAACAGTCTTTATTGGCAAATATCAGCATTACATCGTGCGAACATGTCTTGGTTGTATAAAATGTATAATATTATACTTTAAGGGGACATAACCACATCCGATGCCGTCCGACGTTGTTTATATAGAGGTAGACATAGACGGTTTTAACGAGGCCCGACAAGCACGTATGTAACGAGGTCGGACATTGGTAATAAAGTGGTCAGACGTAGACGAATTTAACGAGGTCAGACATGCACGTATGTAAAGAGGTCAGACATGCATGTCTGTGACGAGGTCGGACATTGTTAATAAAGTGGTCAGACGTAGACGGATATAACGAGGTCAGACATGCACGTATGTAACGAGGTCGGATATTGTTAATAAAGTGGTCAGACGTAGACGAATTTAACGAGGTCAGACATGCACGTATGTAAAGAGGTCAGACATGCATGTCTGTGACGAGATCGGACATTGTTAATAAAGAGGTCAGACATAGACGGTTTTAACGAGGTCCGACATGCACGTATGTAACGAGGTCCGACATGCACGTATGTAACGAGGTCCGACATGCATGTATGGTACGAGGTAGGACAGACGGTTATAACGAGGTGAGGCATAGACGATTACAACGATGTCAGACGTTCTTTATAAAGAGGGGCACAGACTGTTATAACGAAGTTAGATATAGACGGTTATAACGAGGTCAGACATTGATGATTATAACGATGTCGACGTAGTGGTACTGACTCCGAGGTATGGTTCAACCAATGTGGCAAGAGACCCGCATCTCTGGTTTTCCTCACACGTTGAGTTGACACGTCGTCATGTAGCTGGAATACTGAACCTCACTTTAAGTTAACGCTCTGGGATACTGTGCAGTATCTTCAAGATTCCATCGTTTTATTTGAATGATTGCATAATATAATGTTCTTGCATAATAGGAGCGGTGGGGTAGTCCAGTGGTTAAAGCGTTCACTCGTCACGCTATAGACCCGGGTTCGATTCCCCACAAGGGTACAATGTCTGAAGCCCATTTCTGGTGTCCCCCGCCGTGATATTGCTGGACTAGTGCTAAAAGCGGCGTAAAACTATACTCACTCTTGCGTAATGACGCTCAACGTTTTACATTACAATTTCGTGCCTCATCGTGGGGATGTCAGCATTACTTAGAAGAACAATAATCTCATTAAATGGGACTCTTGCATCTATGCATGTGACCTATATCACGGATGAACGCATCGTATATGACATATAGATTATATTCAATAAAAACCAGTGCGATGACAGCCAAGTAGGCACGTTCAATAATGGACAATTAAGCACTGACATATAAATGAGTGCATATTTAACCAACAGCGATGAAATAATAGCCAAACAGTCGTAAAAAGACCATTGCCTCATTCTAGACCACTGAAGGAATCATCACCGGTCAAGAAATGCAGTCATGATTGACAGCCAATGTGAGCCCAGTCCACCATGCCTGTCAGGTTTCCTTCCCCACCCAGAGCAATGCTGAGGCGGAAATCCGACACTGGGAAACATTTATCTCGTTTTCGACGCCGCCTTGCGAAAAGAAATCAAACAAGGGTATTGATCTTAAAGAGATAGAAAATCGATACTCTTCACTTGTGTACTGGCCGTTTTGTCAGATCCACTTTCGATTAATTTAAAGGCCATTGTGATGTGGCTGGTATTGCTTGTTGCATGCTGTGCTGCCTCCTGTCGCACTAGGGTCGCTCGTCTTTGGTTCGAATGCCGCATTCGTATGATACTGATGTTTGGTCTCTCAGCATAACCGTGCTGGTTGCTCTCAGGAAAGTGGTAAATATTTCTGACATACGAAAGGCGGTGCAATCTCACATCAATATTGACGCGCAATGAATATTGCTTTGTACTTCAGTATTTAGCGTCATCAACATATATGATAGTTCATCTGACACTGGGTTTTTTATGTCAAAAGTACAATATACCACGTGGTTCACGGATGAAAGCGAAATTTTCTTTTGATTCATTAAAAGTTGACAAATAGATGTGCCAAGTAAAGAAAGCACAACGTACAATGTATATGTTAAGTACAGTTAATGCTTTTGCCCCTATTATTTTTTATTTCGCCTCAAAGTGTACACGCTCACTGGGGATCTGCGTGAAACTTGTGATAGAAGAGGTTACAGCGGCATCTCCAGAGCAAAATGAATGGTTGCCAATTGTTATGATATAACTATTCCCGACAGAGGTTGCCGTACTCAGCTGTCCTTTACCACGTTGTCCGATACACGTGTAATGTATGTCACGATGTATGTATCTTGTTCGTGTCTACACGTTTTTATATGACTATGTAGATATAACCAAGTCTGGATATGGCTTTACATCTGAATATGATTTGAGTGCGTCCATAGTTCGGTATGTCGCTTTAGTTGAGTAGTAGTTTTTTCCAACCCATCATGAGTGAGTGAGTGAGTGAGTAAGTGAGTGATCAGGATGAATCAGGGATACTTATATAAACAAAAGAGACAAAACCCTTTCCATAATCATACGAAATCCGAAATCCATTGTAAGGATCCCAATTGCGTGGATCGATGCTCATGATATCAAACACTGGATTGTCTGGCCCAGACTCGATTATTTACAGACCGCCGTCATATAGCCGGAATATTGCTGAGTGCGGCGTTAAACAAACAAACAAACAAACATTGTACGGTTCCGACTTACAGCATAAGCATGTGTTTATCTCTAGAGTGGCATCAATGGTTATAATAAAAGGTTTTCGCGAAAAGGTGCGCGTATCCTGGCCTACCGTAAGGACCTGTCACAAACACAAGCAGTATGTATTACATATGCTTTTTGTCCATAATATAAAATAAATAATTATATTACTAAATCATGTAGAGACACGAACACATAATGCCATTTAGAAGTGGTCAAATGTAACAAATGCTATATATGGGATTACACTCTTTTTAGTAAAGTACAGATTCTTACTTTTTGGGGTTGATTAGGTGCCTCGCTCTTGCAGTGTGTGTTCGAATCCCGGATGGGACTAAACCACCAAAGTACTAGAATCTGTACTTTACTAAGAATTTAGAAACATGTTGCCAACACATTCAATTTACTCATATTTATACATGGCCTAACAGAGGCAAAGTGTTGCATGCTCAGTGCACCCCCTAAAGAGCCTTGAACCCCCACCCTCTCCCCACCAAGACAACCCTCCGTTTCCAAATGGCTGCGTACATCTATGTACATAACACTTAACGCCACGAAGCAAACTCTATGTTACAAACAAAACGTTTTACTGTTTCCTTCTCCTTCAATGCCTTCTCATAAACTATGTATATAAATCAATAACCCTCACATAAAACAGCTATATATTTTTCCAGACGTGTATTGTAACGTTATTTTAAAATCATTCAATATTTCCCCGAGAGTGCATCCTACGTACAAGTATTGACGAAGCTATATCGTTATTTCCCCGATCAATACACCACGTCCTCCACAACTGAAAGCTAACAGCCTGCTAATTACACTGCTATCAAATCATGTTTGCATTAATAAAACACGCCCCAGCAACAGCGAGTTGCCATGTTGCATATTGCACTGTGGGGAACTGTTTGGGGCGTATTCGATTGGACGAATGTGTTCAACATGTAGAGATGCTTCATTTTGGGTGGACTCATGTCACTGTTACAGCAGAAAACCGTTAATTTCGTTATGTGAATCAAACGAGCACGGGTGTGGTGCTGGCAGACTTACGGTTACAAGCGGTGCGAATCTGAAACTCGAACCAAAATTGGCAGAATACATCCTCTGTT